GGACATAAGGAAAAACTCCTTTACAGTCCGTGTGTCCAGGGTCTGGAACAGACTCCCCCAAAGCTGGTGCAAGCACCTTCTCTGGACTCATTCAGAAGGCGTTTGGATGCATATCTTGCTGGGATCATTTGACCCCTAAAGACTTTTTGCCTATGACAGGGAGGCTGGACTTGATCTCACGAGGTCCCTTTCAGCCCCTCATTTCTATGACAACTTTAATGTCTATGAAACAAATGGGAGGGGCAGACAATAAGGGGCAGGGGGCAGGCCACTTGAGTCCCCCACTACCTGCCCCCTGCCATGGCAAGAGGCGGGGGAATGAATTTAAGATGACCCACCACAATATTTAGATTCTGTACATGGAAACTTATAACAGATTTATACATTTCCATGTATAGGATCTAATTGGGGGTTAGAGGTCATCTTAAATTCAAAGCCATCTTGGATTCAGGTCAGTGCAGTGGTTTTATATAGGGCTCCTAGTTTCAATAAACAAGGCCTAAAAAAATAGCTAAAATTCATCTGCTGCCTACACTGTGCCCTTTCCCAGCCTGGCAGCCTTCAAGTCCCCTATCAACAAATAGCCAAAAGATGGATGCTGGCACAGAGAGCCAGGGCAGCAAAACTTTCATCCTGTCAAGGGTAACATTTGCACTGCACTAACCTCACAAGAGGGGGTGGTGGCAGTAGTGGAAGGGAATGGTCACAGTTTTTAAATGGTGGAAACAGAAAGTACCAAACTACTAAGGAACTGAGAAAACCCTCAACCCTCCACAAATCAATCAATTCCTCCAAACCTCTAGCTTGGGTATTAGGAAAATGAAACATTTGACTTGTATATTTTTTTTAATTTTTTTTTTAATACATTTTATATATATCAGGTGCCATATTAAAAACGGACATTTACCGCCAGGCAGGGTTTACCTGCTTTCTCACGTTTTAGTTTCCTGTAGAGTCAAAATATATTGAAAATGTCACGTGGTAAATCCTGCTGCCAGCAGTAAATGTCCAGCCTCTAACAGCAGCCACTGATTTTCTTTTAGAAATAGAAACAGAAATGTACTGTAATGTAAAATCTCCCGATTAGCCAGAAGCCATCTTGTTGGTCTTGGGATGCTGCACAGAGAAAGGACAGAAGTCAGACTTACCATGACGTTACTTTCAAGCATTTCCAGCCCTGGAGTGCCATTTGCTTGCAGCAGGGCATGTACCACGTCATCAAGTTTGTTCTCCTCCGCAGCAGGAATGCAATACCTGTTTGGAAAAAGAGAAATCAGCAAGGACTCACTACGCAATAGCCCACAGCCTCCAACTTGTACAGCAATGCAAAGGGCTGACCAATGCCCCTCCTCCAAAGCTAAAAGCAAGTGGAAGGAATTAAAACAGACCTCCCCTCCCCCAACACATGCAGCGCTTTTTAGCAAGATGCTTCAATTCATGGAAAGTTGCTTATTTGGAGTTGAACCGACAGCATTCACCAGAGCCAAAGGAAATGAAAAGGCTGAAATGATCAAACAGAGGATGTGACATCTCCTTGCTCTACAAAATAGGGAGAATCAGCAAGAACATGACATCTGGTCCCAGGGATGTCAGCAGAAGTTTCCCATCTGTTCAGCACCTACTTGGAATGCCATCACACTAATCCTTGTTTTAGGTGACCAGATGCGTTGTGTGTGCTTGAACCAAATGAAAGCATGAACCAACATTTTTTTCTTAAATAAAAACAGATGTTTGTGGTCCAAAGCAGTAACAAAAATACAGACCTGGGGACTTCCACAGAATAAATTTTATTAATAAAAGCAAAGTATTCCAAGATATGCCTCCTTCATTCACTTGATGAGCCTGGAGTTCAGTACTCCACCTGTCCCCTGTAACAGAGGCCATCACAAATGTATAATGCATAGCAGGTCTGTGCTCAAGGAGAGATTTAAGATGGGTGCTGATTTACCAGTATCCCATGTTCTTTCATATCTTCCCATGTTTACCAGTCCCGCAAAGTGGGGAACTAGCTTCCCACTGCAAAAAGGACATGAAATGGCCTGGCAGTGCCCAACTGACCTCACTCTCATGCAAATGGGGAACTGCAAGGGATACACAGGGTTATCTGGCTGATGAAGAAAGATTGAAGGGGGAGTAGAGGTAGGGACAGATAGAGTCTGCGGGAAGGGGGAAAGAAATGTACAACAGATGTTGCTTATCTGTATCATCATTATTTCATTGTTCATCAGTAGCTTGGAAGGGGTCCCAATTAGGGACCCACTGGACTATGTGCTGTGCACACATGTAATAGGAAGACAGCACCTACCCCAAGGAGTATATACTCTTATCATGGAGCAAAGAAAAAAAATAAGTGGATAAAAACAATTGGTAAGGATGGACGAGGCAACATAAAGAATTATGTCTGGCATAACAAGTAAGCAGCCTCTGCACACCGAATATTGGGAGAAATATGCCAAACTACCAGGCCCAGAACCTGCCCTCACTGCTCATCTGCTGACAAAGTTGGACTTTAAAGAGCATGAGCTATGCC